ATCAAATGTCAGCTTCAGGAAAGAATGGATTCAGCAGGGCAAATTCTTATTCCTACAAACCCGACTGGCATACAAGTATACACAGAGCTGATCCGGACGGCAGTCACCAGGACATGAACTAGTATCCTGAATAATGTGTGCATGGAAACACTTAGTGATCACTGTGATATGCAACATTAGCCTGGTTGATGAGGCGTTATCATGTTTGCCTTTTTCCTCCGCTTTGTTTAACTTTCGTTTCCATGGAAATATAGCTGATATTCACTCTATCCATTTATCTGAGAGACACAGGTTTAGAAGGATAAAGCTCCCCTCTCACTGAAAACCTGCTGTCAAGAGTCTTGTGTCTTGAATGAGGCAGCCAACCCGTGACAGCTCCGGCAGGCTTTCTGACTGACCACCAGTAGATGTCTGAGGTTGTACAGGTTAGCTCGAAGTGTGACTGAGTGGAGCATTAGGAAAATGAAGCAAATTATCACTGAGAAAGAGCACGGAGCTCAGGTGACCTTCCCCGGAGAATAAAGGTTAGAAAACAAAAGACTCCAGGCTTATTACTGAGTAGAATATGAAGATGAATAGAAACTTTGTCCTGGATTCTCTGTGCCTGTAACCCACTCATGCCTCAAGATCCAACCAACCTTATCAGCAGCAAATCTACATGGATTTGCATACAAATGAAGGCTGGCTCGCCACTGACCTAGTTGGGTCCAGACTGGATGCTAACCCTTCCTGACAGGTTCTCCCAGAGCGCTGACCGGCCATACTCTACTTCTGCAGCACCAGGAAAATACAAAGGAGCAAAAGTTCTACTTCATCGTTCTAAATCTATATTTGATTTTAATTAATAAACAAAACACTTCTGTGATATCCATGTTTATGTTATTGTATACCCTCAATGCACTTTTTACATCTTATTTAGCTTTACGCTCACAGGTCTCTGTTCATTAGATAATTACTGAATGCAAGCTTATACCATTGAATTACTGTTAATTGGAACTTATAAAATGATGGCCTAATGAAGAATATTGCTCTTTTATCTCACTATCTACTTTTTCAGTTAATGTTATTTTTTCTTATAGATAGACAAAAGACAAAGGTTTTTTTGTATCTTAAGTTTCTCTCTTGGCATGCAGGTCTTTTCTCTATCCATAAACATTTTAGGATCATCACTTCTTGCAATTCACCAGCCACATATGCGTCCATCAACATATCTGATGACATGACAGGTCACATACAGGTGAAAGTGATCTGCATGTGATCACAGAGAAAACTGACGAGGGCTGTGTCTGTAATTTCTCCCTGTTAAAAGGAGCGGACACTATTTTTAGTGCACTATATAGTTGAGTGTCTGTATTCTATATAAAGTGCCCTCAAATGGAATAAAAAATGGCATTAACACTATTTTCTGTTAGCAATAATAGAGGCGGAAATTACAGAGACAATTTACCTGTCAGTGATGAAACACTCAGACATCTCAATTTACTGCAGACCATAAAGTAAACCACTAAGTGTATATCACATAATATTAGTGAGAGAGTAAATGTGGGCGTGTTTGGATGGGCCAAAAATGTCTATAATGTATATACAGATTGATTTTTGGATCTGTTCAAGACATATACTTTATTTTTCAGTAATTGTAATTAAATTTATTGAGTTATAGTTGTTCTTTATTGCATTATGTATTGGCTTTATTTGACAAATTTTGCATGTTCAAGAAATTGCTTTTGTATTATGTTATTAGGGGTTGGGTTTCATAATCAAGTTGCTATTAAACATACTATTAAAGAGGAAACCTCTTATAGTGATCTTGTCTATCCGGGTGAAATTCCTCACATAATATTTTATATATTTGTATATCTATTACATAAATGTGAAGTAACAAAATGGACCCTTCACTAAGTCCCACCCCAAGATGCAGCCTGGCCAATCATAGTGTAGCATCAGGCTGGCTCAGACCAGGGTCTGACAACAGCACAGCTGTGCTCCGTTGACTCTAATGCAGTCGTTTCAGAGTTCCTTCATTTTCAGGCTGGTTTTGTGGATTTGGAGCTAAATGTTGTGTCTGGGGCACGTCGTGTATTAATGATACTCGTTACCTGGAGAGGTTGGAAAAAGATATAGGTTTCTTCCCTGTTCCAAAACCAAAATCAGACCGTGGAAAGTGTAGGGTTAGCTAGCTAGCTACTCAAGATATAGCCTACTGAATGTATACACATGCTGCTTTTGCTTTTTAATGATTATAACAGTGAAAAAAAGACAGACCCTGCTGTACAGGAACCAGTGAAGGGAAGCAGGGAAACTTTGCTGATACGGTTTGCTGTGGCGATCAGCAGTGATGTGGTGGTTCACTTTTACACTGTGATCTGTAGCCTATAGTTTGGCTTTAGCTTCTAACTATCTTTGTCTTTTTAACCTGTTGTTGCTGCTGAGTCAGTTTGACATCCTGGATATATCCTTCAAACACAGACTGTAGACCCCTCTGTCTGCTTCTCTCTGGAATCACTGTTTTATTGTTCCAAAAATATGATAATATTTCTTCAGGGAGTGCAGTTAGTTACAGTGTGGGCTCCATGCTTACTCTTACAGCTTGTCGGACATCACAAATTTTATTGACTGTTTTAAAATACACCTATTTCATAACATAGAGATTATGGAAGCTTTATGTGACCAGGCATTATCAATCCACTTGGCGAGAGCTGCTTCAAAACACAGGTGTTCTCCATATGAGCATTTGTTTTTTGTCTCCATCACTATCAGCACAGGCTGTTTCTTGTTCTTGGAGTAGACTGCACAAGGTAGCCTGAGGAACATTAAGTTTAGCTGCTACATTTCCTTGGCTCGTTTTGGCAGTTTGTCCTAAGTTTTGAGGAGACTACATTTTTTATTGAGAGAAAATCTTGATTTCAGTGTGCACGCAGCACCAGCCTTAGTTAGCCAGCTGGAAGCAGACAAGCTACCGCGAGGCAAAGTGCTGTATCATGGAGCAAAGAAAAACAAAAGAACTGTAGTTTAAAAAAAAAAAAAAAAAAAAGTTTCCATATGTTGTCATGTACAAAAACCCCACACTGAAGACCGTAAGTGGAATTATTTTAACAGTATTTGTTTAGGAATTATTCTGCTGTTTGATCCATATATGAGCTGTTGATCGCTGTAACCATGACCACTAAAAGCTGTTCCCACTGTATTTATCTCCGTGGTTAAAAGTTTGTGTTTCTAGCAAGCAAAGATGTTTTATTATAAAGTAGTTGTCTGTGACCTCTGGCTGTCCAGACTTGAGTGAAGTGGTGATGAAGTGTTAACAGATTGATGAGTGTCTGCCAAATCTCTGCTGTTACTGAACAAACTTCATAGGTGGTGAAAAGTATTGAGGGATATTTTCTGAAGATGCTACTTTCTGAGAACTCTGTAGCTGCAGAGCTTGGGTAACCTGCTCATATGAGTATCTCTTTTTTGACTATTCGATGACTTATTAAAAGCCTACATGCTAATTTCACATTTAGTTTTTTCTCTTTGTGATAGAGTCATTGGATATACTGTGGGGCAATGCAAAGACGCCTGTGCATAATAAACTGTCTTGGTTGAGTTCACAGCTGCAGACCACCTAAGAGGAGGACAGTGACAGAGATTAAGACTGGCTTTAATACAGTACAGTAGTGCTGACCTTGGCTTTTGTCTGAATAAAATGTACCGTGTGTCTTCACTGATAATTACCTCAGGATGTGAGTCCACTGGGACCCTCTCCTTAGAGCACTTACTTTTCCTCATTCATTTTAATGGAAAGGAGGCTCTACTGCATGTTTTTATGGCACCAGACTGATGGCTGATCCACAAAAGGTCAGTGTGAGAGATACTGTATGTGTAAGTTTGTATGGCTGGGGTCTACATGAGGCAGTTAAATCTCTTTTACCTTTCAAATCACATCTTTATATTGTGGTATCTTCAAGACATCATGAAGAAGTGGACGGTGGACGGCCTGCCCTACCTCACTCATAGCTTTAAATATGATATGCAGTAGTTTGATGTGGTACATTTTGATGTGTGACTATGCTGGTGTTGTGCCCTTAGCCACGTTTTCTCAGATATACTTGGCTGCCAAAACAACTGACAGCCTATAAATAATAACAAGCAATACAACATAAAATGCTGTATTTTAATGCAAAACCGGGCTGAATTTGGACGCAGTTTACAGTCTCTCAGTACCCCTGAAAACTCAGGCTACATCTCACAAGCTTCTATTTGCCACTAAATTTCAGACTCAAGGACATCAACTCTGGACAAGCCTGACATTGCGATCCTGAGTATCTACTCAGTCAGTGAATTATTGAGAGCCGTTAAAGTGATGACTTTACTTGTACCTCTAAAACTGTCCAGACCCACAGCATTTAAAGTCAGCTTTAGAAAGTTACAATAGAAGCATGAAACATTCTCCAACTGAAAGGTCTATTTCTCTAAATTTGGGTGTTCAGGAACCATTTATGGTGGGTAATTTGAGAGAAATCTGCCACCTACATAACAACGACCACGATTTCCACTGTGAAAATTGGACGAAAAGCTCAATGACTGTCCACTGAGTGGTGTGTATGTCCGGTATGTCATGTGTAGGAAGGGTTCAGGTTGATGTCTCAGTAAAAAGCGAGCACTGTCAGTCATATATTGTAGAGCCAACTTAAAATGCCAAGCAAATTCCTACTGGGCCTTGCCAAAAAAACAACAACTAATGGCTGGCTTTATAGGAGAAAGCACAATTTTTTTATAAGGTCTAGCACACATTTCAGAATTATCTTCTCATCTCACAGCACTTTATTCTCAGCAGGAAAGTTTTCAAAAACGTTTGAACGCAGCATGAAACAGTGTGTATCGAAATTTGCCTTCTGTTTCATGATGCTTTAAGAAAGGGGGGTAACATACAGTTCTGCATAATCCAGTGCTGCATAATCCAGTGCTGGTTTGATCTACTCTGTTGCTCCATGGGCAACCTCAATCTCCTATCTCAGCCTCACCTTGCAGATCTTGTACAGTGAATCCTGTCCATCTCCGTCAGAGTCCTTGAAGTAGTCGTGTGCGGGGAAGGTGCGGTGGATGTCTCGGGTGATGACGCCTTCTTGAGCCGAGTCCTGCAACACACAGGGATTACATGCTTGAGACGTGACAAAACTATAGCGAAATGTAGATACATAATGAGTTCTGCCTTCCTTTTCATGCATGAAGGTTGTGCCAGTTTAGATACTGCCTATCCTGAGTTATTCACTAGTCCCTTAATGGATTCACGGCATGACAACAACAGCAAATATTTCATCTCAGCACCCACAACCTCTTTTTTATATTTACTCTGATCAGGCTCCTACATCTTTCCTCTGTCTGTACATGTTTATATACAGTGGTAAAGACGGCACTGTATTTCGCTCAGCTCAGAACCAACTGTATCAGTTCACAGCTACGATACAAAGCAGCTCGCCGCTATGTCACCGCATTTGTTTGTTTGTGTATTAGTGTTTGTCCCATTCCTCCTGCAACGGCACTCCCCAGGCCTCAGTCTCTTAGTCTGTGCTGTCTAATCCACAACCACTGCAGTGTATACACACACACACATTCACACAAACATGCCTGCTTGTTTTCCAATTTGCTTCTCACTCACAGACACACATACTGTCCACACACGAGCACTCTGCTATTTCCCCCCTCACTTTCTTTTCTCACACACAACAGTCAATCACATGCACACCATCACACACACACACACACACACACACACACACACACATACACACACACAAACACAAACACGCAGAGTGCAAACACGACCGGAGAGAAGACTGGCAGCACAGCTTTCTCCAACAACTCACTGTAAGCTGCAGATAAACCAACCCTGAGCCTTACTGGCCTTGATGTGTGTTTGTGTGTATCAGAGAGAAAATGGGAGAGTGTGTGTGAGTGAGAAATTTCATCTTTCTTGCTTCTTTCCTCTCCTTGTTTCCTGACAGCAGCAAGGAAAGAAAAGAAGGAGGGAAGAAGAGAAGCAGTCTGCTGCATTTTTGTGGAAAATGTTGCAGAATATACTGTCCATATGGTGAAAGGTCTTGGTCAGGAAGTCTCTTACTGCCCCCATCTATTGGTGCAGGTAGATTCTTCCACCTGAAAAGATAAAAGCCTGACGATGTTCACTGAATGGATTATAACAGCTGAGGCCAGACAGGAGATTGCTTGGACAACAATGGAAGTCAGTTTTTGTGCCATCGCTTACAGGCTGGTATAACCGCATCACCAAAGTGGCAGATGGGGAAAAGACATCTTTTTGGGCTATCCTGGCAGCCTGGTGGTAAAGACGCAAAATCATGTCCCATGTCCCAAGTAAGAAAGGAAAGTAAGGGCAAGGAAATGTATCTTTTACTTTATGAGATAGAGAGCTTCTTTGTTTGTGGACTTTTATTAGTTGATTAGCTGATTTATAGATCAACACATAAATAAGTTAATTAACCCCCCCCCCCACCCCCCACCCCCGCTAAATGTCAATATTTGCTGGATTTCTTTGTTATCTGCTATTATAAACTTAATATTTTGAGGTTTTAGACCTTTGGTCAGACAAGATAAGACATTTTAAGACGTAATCTGACGCTCAGTGGAACTGAGTTGGACATTTTTTGGATATTTTATGAACCAGGCAATTAATAAAAAAAAAATAAAAATAATAATAATAATGATAATAAAAAAACTCATATATTTAATAGTCAAGATAATTGCTAGTTTTAGCCCTTGTTGTTTTTTTAGTCAGTTTTTATGTACTCATTTTTTTAAATAATGTGTTGGATCATTTTATGCCTTCAGTAGACATGAATGGGAGAGTGAGATGGAGAATGACATTCAACAAAGAGAACCAGCTACTGCACAGGTCCTTAACCCCTAGTGCCCCATGATAATATTTTTATGATATAACACGTGCTAAATATAGAATTAGGGAGGAAAAATCTAGTAAAATTCTAAATTTAAAAAAAACCCCACACAACTATGGGCTCATGAGAGGATACTGACTGTTATTATTAATAATCCTCGACTTGCTTTCTCCCACTTCTTGTCACATTATTGTTGAAAAAAATATGACACTGCCAGCAAATGTAGAATTAATAAAAACACAATTATGGACACATTAAGTTTCTTTTATCACCACTGTAACTGTACTTTAATATTACAGTCAACAATTAGCTACATATAATTCTGTGTTAACAATGTTGCCAAAATCCTCCAATATGCTTATTTTATATGAGCGCAAATACATGTGGTTTACATATATCCACCATACACACACACCCAAAAGGGTTTGACGGATGCTGCTGGCACAACTGTGTGTAACGCTTTAATGAGATTTGTAGTGTGGAGGTGGTGTGTCGTGCTGTGCATTATATGTCGAAAATGGAACTAACAGTTTTACATTATGTTCCTTCTGCAGCACAAAAAAAAAAAAAAAAAAAAAAAGCAGCTCTTCAGGAATGAAGGTAGCGCTGTGTGAGATTTGTTCTTCTCGTGTATTCATGGTTGTCTTAATGGGACAGCAAAACAAATTTCCCAAACAGGATGCAAAAGGTGGATAAATTTCATTTAGGCTATTGGCTGAACAAAACAATTTGATGACATCACACTGGTCTTTAGTAAATTGTGCTGCACATTTTTCACTACTTTTAGGACATCTAATAGGCCGAATAATTAATCAGTTATCAAGAAAATAATAATCAGTTGCAGCCCTACATACATTAAACCAATAGGCTATTAGAGTGATGATTGAAACACCAAAATTCTCCTCCGAACAATTTGTTTTAATCTTCACAAAGACCAATCATACTTCAAGTCAAAAAACATTAACGAGAGGATGGAGAGTAGAGACTACCACACAAAGGAAAGTTACATTAATTACTCACCAAGTAAGAACATTACCTTTAAAATAATTATGGGCTAATTATTCATGTATTACTCTTTATGAGTTAGCCCATCAACAGCAAAGACATTTATGGAACTGTAATTACCATGGCAACATCAGTGAAGACCAGCAAGAATCTGGCTGACAGTGAAAGTTGTAAACACTTTGATTTAATAAACCATGCATGCCTCTGCTAATTAACAGCCTCATTATTCAAAAAAACACCACAAAAAGGAGGAGAGGACGTCCTCTACTCTGCCTAATCTCCTTCCTTCTTGTCTTGAATCCTTTCTTCCTCTTCTCTTTAATTTCTCACTGCGCATTTCCTTTTATCCTTGAATTCTCTACTCTCATCTCTTTTATTTCTCCTCTCGCTTATCGCCTCCCTTCTTTCTTCTTCCATGTTCTCTCCTCTTTTCTGCCTCATCTCCTACTGTACCATCTCTTCTACTGCTTTTTAGATTTCCCTCTCTTCCCTGTTATATATTTCTCTCATCTGCTTCATCTTCTACTCTATTTTCTACATCATTTCCTCCCCTCCTCTCTGTATACCTCCATATGTTCTCCTAAATATTTGCCTCATCTCCTCTCATTGTCAATGCAGACAGCAAACACGCTTGGGCCCCATGGTCTCAGTGTGCAGCTTTATAAGACCGGCCTTTTTGTCTTGACAGTGATTCTTCACATATTTTATGCACCATTGTTCTGATTTAAAATTAAAATACTGTAGGTTTTTAATCTGTGACACCAAAATTCATTCAAGATACCTGCTAAATTAAAAGATTAAAAGCACTCACTGTACACACGGAGATATGTATGTGTAGCGTTTATAGCATTCACTAGGTTTAGCACGATATTTCAAAAAAAAAAAACAAAAAAAAAACAAGGAAAGGGTTGTACTCATCTTTTTTAGAGATACTAATATATTATTAATGTTGGAATATTCTGAAGGATGTAATTACTGTTATGTCATCTTCGTCTCCGAGTCACTGCTCTGATACTCTGCAGCATAAAAAGAGCAAGTTGTAGCTCTGCTTCATCCAACTTGTATCGTGTTCAGTAGAGTGCAACTCAAAGTAACAACGTAAGTTTGTTTAAAAAGTTTTAAAACTTTAGTCTCTGTCGTCTTCCTCCCCAATGTCTCTCAAGTTCACTTTGTTTTATGGTGGACTGTTCCTTAAATTCACTGCAGACTTCAGCTGTGTGTACCTTTTCTTGCTAACTGCCTGCTGGTTCAAGAGTTATATGCTGACTTTTTGGATGGATGTGTGTGTGTGTGTGTGTGTGTGTGTGTGTGTGTGTGTGTGTGTGTGTGTGTGTGTGTGTGTACTCGTCTGTGAATGTTGAAGCTGGCAGCTCTTTGATCTCTGCAGGGAGGCTGAGGTGTTCAGGAGGAACTGCAGCCTCATCAGCAGCATCAGTTCTCCGTCACAGTGCCCCAGTTCAACATCCCTGCAGTAGACAGTTAGTGCCAACACAAAACAAACAGAATAAAGCTTATGCCCTATAACCCTAGTTCTATGAGCGCAGGTAGAGAGCCCTCTGATAGGCTCTATAGGTCCATCAATTGATTACTGCACTGAAAATCTGCATGTGCTAGTTTGGCTAATCAGGACAGACCCACTGATTCCTCCCTGTACCAGCTGTCAAACCCTCACCTTGCATCAGAAAGCCAGGTATTTAACAAGCAGCAGAGTGACCAGGTCAGCAGACCCTCTCTGTGCTCATATAACTGAGGTTCTTTTGCCAACAGGCTCTATTAGCTTGGGAACCAGAGGAATCTGCCAGATCTAAGGTTATAATACTTTTGTATTTTCAAGTACTTTTTAGTTTAGTTAAGTTTGGTTTCGACTTTTACATTTAATTGCAGTTTAATCCTTGTAAGCTTTCAAAGTGTGTTTGCTAGTTTTAGCTTTATTTCAATTCATAAAGGTTTAGTTTTAGTTTTTATCAATTTAATATTAGCTGTATAAACTTCTACTGATATTATTCATAGCTCTATAATTATTGTTAGTGTAGTTACTTTCATTACTGTTGTTGCTGCGCATCTCTCTTTCTTTTTCTATGTATCATTTTGTACTGTACATTATGTTTATCTGTTCTGTATACATGACATCTACTGCAGGTCTGTCCATCCTGGAAGAGGGATCCCTCCTCAGTTCTTCTTCCTGAGGTTCCTACCATTTTTCCCCATTAAAGAGTTGTTTT